AGGAAACTCATGCATTTTAATGAAATTTGTTAGCCCAAAAAGGTATTACCAAATTCCTGATATTTTGCCACCCTAGACTAACACAAATTACTCCTGCAAAGTCTAAATAAGGGAAGTATAACTTGAGATTAATGTTAATAACTTGAGTGTTACTCCTCATTGCCTAGCTCTACATAATATGTACCAGCGAAAATGAGATACTGAGATACATATTATCTACCATCAGAGCCAAAATATAGAAATTAATTTCTATTGCACTGTATCCGCTTTTCTCACACAGATATTCTAATTAGTTAATTAGAACAAAGGTGTACTTTCTTAGCTCTCTTCATTCAGCTCTTCTATTTTCTGATGATAGTTCAGTTCTTACTCCTGCCGTGTTATCCAGTAATCTTTATGGGCACAACCTCTGGGATTGATATTTTATGTAATCCATCTGGTCCTAGCAATTTGAACGCATCTAAAGTGGATAGGTGTTCTCTTACCATTTTCTTGCCTATTTTGACTTGCATTCCTATTCTTTCTTGTATGCTGTCCCATGCTCCTCAGGCATGGCGGAGGGGATAGACCAGACAGAGAACTTGTCTCTGCACATATACAGGGGAGGATCGGCTAATGCCAACAGTGGTGCATGTAGGCAGCCAAGTCTCCTCTGACGAGGAACAGTTGCCAGCAGAGTGTAGGCAAACTCAGAGAAGGGCTGCAAGGCTAGTTGGGAAGAGGTTAGCCCACCCCTCCTCACAAAGAATACCTGGAGGGGAGTAACATAAGAAGAAGCCGTGGGGAGTTAGTCTTTGCCAGGAACAATTGTTTGCTTTCACTTGCACTCCCCGGTTTTTACTCATGCCTATTGAGGGTGGCTACCTTCAGGGTAAGGGTAGAGCCTTACCGGTTGTTGGTTAAGAGAAATAAAGAACTCTTTAGAGGCCTGCTTTGCCTTGACTACCTGGTCATAACATTTATAATGCCTTGGTAAGACCACACTTGGCATATTGCATCCAGTTTTGGTCGCCACAATATAAAAAAGATATTGAGACTAGAGTGCAGAGAAGAACAACAAAGATGATTAGAGAATTGAAAGTTAAAAAACATGGAGAATGATTGCAGGAATTGGGTACATCTAGTTTAATGAAAGGAAGAACTAGGGGTGATATGATAGCAGTATTCCAATATCTAAGGAGATCAACCTATTCCAAATCACCTGAAGGCAGAACAAGAAGCAATGAATGGAAACTAATCAAAGAGAGAACCAACCTATTAACTAAGGAGAAATTTCCTGACAATTAGAACAATTAACCAGTGGAGCAACTTGCCTCCAGAAGTTGTGAGTGCTCCAACACTGGAGAATTTTGTTCAACAGTGTCTGAAATAGGGGTTTCCTGCTTAGGCAGGGGATTGGGCTACAAGACTTCCAAGGTCCCTTCCAACTTTGTTATTCTGTTATTCATTTCTGTTAATAAGAATTAAGTGCAGTATAGCTGACCCTCTAGTTCCCTCCTCTACCTTTTGGATGACAAAATTGTCAGATAAGCTTATAAGAAATTTGTTTGATTTCCCACTTGGTACAGAATTTGTTGATGTTGAAGGATAGTTAAAGTCCTCCATAACTACTTTCCTGTATATCCTAGCTACCTGATTATCAAAAGGTTCATTTATTTCCTCTGCTTGGTTGAGTGGCCTGTAGTGTACACCTGATACAAAATAACAGAGTTGGAGGGGACCTTGGAGGTCTTCTAGTTCAACCCTTCGCCCAAGCTGGAGACCTTATTCTATTCCAGACAAGTGACTGTTCAGTCTCTTTTTAAAAGCCTCCTGAAGACAAGTCATTCCATTGGTTAATTGTTCTCACTGTTAGGAAGTTTGTCTTTAGTTATAGGTTGCTTCTCTCCTTGATTCGTTTCTATCCATTATTTCTTGTTTGCCTTCTGGTGCTTTGGAAAATAGGTTCACCCCCTCATCTTTGTGCCAGCCCCTCAAATATTGGAACACTGCTAGCACTTATGCTATATGCCAGGGATGTCAAATTGCTGGCCCACGGGCCGGACACATCACCTGGAAGCCGCACCCACCCGATTGCCAGCAATGGCAAAACCATCTCAATACGTTGTGCAACGTCATGTGATGTCGCGAGTTTGACATGTCTGCTATATGCTAACACCTATGGCAATGTCATTCTTTTTTCCCCTTCATTTGAATTTATATGCATTCAATGAGGTTTTCATTCTTGGTTTTATGTATTTCTATAGAGGTGTAGTGATTACTTACATATAGTGCAACTCCGTCACCTCTTTTATTAGGATTGTTTGTTTTGAACAGTTTATATCCTTCCAGCAATATATACCAGTCCTTAGTTTCTATCCCACCAAATTTCGGGAATGGCAACTATTTATATCTGCACTTGTGTACTAGAACAGGTTGTCCTTGACTTACAATCTTTCTTATAATGGCTGTTTGAAGTTAAAATGGCACTGAAAAAAGTGACTTATGACTGGTTTTCAGTTATAACTGCCACAGCATCTTCATATCACATGATCAAAATCTAGGCATTTGACAACAGACATGTATTATTATGACAGTTGCACTGTCCCAGGGAAATGTGCCACCAATTGTAACCATCCCAGCTACCTTAACAATAGGCAAAGTCAATGGGAGAAGCCAGATTCACTTAACAACTACATGACTCCCTTAATAACTGCAGCGATTCACTTAACTGTGGAAAATAAGGTTGTAAAATGGGGGATATTTAACAATTATCTTTCTTAGCAACAAAAAATTTGGGGTCCACTGTGGTCATAAGTCAAGGATTACCTGTACTTCAGGTTCACCCTGTTAGTTCCTCAAACTTTCAGCATTTGAAGCTGTTTCTTCCTGATAATGATGCATGAGTTCTTTTTATGGATGCTTTGTGGTTTCTTAAGACATAGAAGTGTGCAGTTCCTCTCGTATATCAGTGGAGATCTTGCCTTCATTCCTGCTCTTTCTCCATAAGGGCCAACATTTTGCAAAAATAGATAATAGATAGCTGATACTGACATTTTCTCTGATACACAGTGGGATCAGATGCATATGATTCATTCCTTTGGTTTGACTGCAGAGTTATTCCTCTTCACTATCTGATTTCTCAGATCTTTAACTGTACAGGTATTCCTCGAGTTACAATAGTTCACTTAGTGACCGTTCAAACACACCCCAAGTACTTACAACACAGTCCTGAAGTTACGAACATTGCAGCACCATGGCAGTCATTCATCCTAATGACCAACTGCAGAGACAGCAATATTTCCCTGCCTATTCCTGCTATGCTAGCCCACCAGCTCCTCTCCACCTTACCAGTTGCTCACTTACCTTTTGAAGAACCAGAGTTCTCTCAAGCAAGCTGTCTCATCTCCAGCCTCTCTGCTTGGGGTTTGCATGGCAGCATGGTTATTTTGCCTGATCCCGGCGCTCCAAAATCAAAGCAGTGAGAGCAGAGGCAGAGTGGGATGAGCACATTCTTGCTCAGCTTGGCTGACTCACTGAAGCTACCTGCGCAGAAACCCAATCTGCTTTTGGAGTGAAAAAGGAACTCCTGACTGCCCTAAAACACATGTGAGATGTATCACTCCATTTATTAAGCCTTTTTCTTGTTTAAGTTTGGCAACATTTCATGAGAGTGATTGCAATATGAAGTGTATTTTAGAAGGAGGTTCCTTTGTTGGAGATATGCAAGAATCCTATCTAATTGTAGTCTTCTATCTTCATTTGGCATTTTGGTTTGATCTTCAATTTTCCTATGATTTATTTGGCAGGGCTATGCTTTCTTCTGGTCATTTGTTAGACACCTAAGAGGATGATGACTGAATTCACACAACTGATCCCTTTCCTCCTACTCCAGATTGCATCACTTGTGATTTGCTACCATGCCAATTGCTTGAGTCTTCAGTACCAGGGCTTTTTTTTGTCATAGAATGCACAGAACGAAGTTCCAGCACCTTTTTTGGATGGAAGCTTGTAGGATAGGCTGTATGACATGTGTGAATTCCGGCACCTTTTTTTTTTCTTTACAAAACAAGCACTATTCAGAACCAAATATAAATGTAGGAACTGCACATTATAGGACACATGATAATAGAAAGGGCAACATTCCTGTCAAAATCTTAATTCAGGCCTGTTCTCAGGACTTTCTTTAGGTACATAATCTATATGTGTACATTTTTAGGTGAACATTAGACAAATCAATTGCAGGTTAATTATCCCTTTTTTGTTTGATTCTATTATTCAAATATGAGGGAATCAGAAATCTCTTGTCAAACTGTTTTATATTGAAAATATACTCCAGTCATCTTTCTGCTCACTCATTAATTATAACTTATATGAGTGAACTATAAGCAACAGATCTAGTGCACTGGTGTTTCTGAAGTTGGTGAGGTTTACTTGTCACGCAATAGCAAGGATGGACAACTTTTTCAGTTCTGAATGCTGCTTTGATTATTGAGTGGGGATCAAGGGCTGCACATTTTAAGAAGGATGCTGGATTACTTTCTTAAGGGGAAGAAGGAAGCTTTGTTTCTTCCCCAGTGAACCAGTTAAAGATTGCTCTCTATTTTTGTCATAAGGGAAAACCAGCAATTTTTACCAACCAGCTCAGTAGTAAAAAACCAATAGGGATCTTTGATGTTTTGTAGACTATATTATTTGTTGCAGTAGTTATTGAATGTTATATATTGTCTATTTGGTTGCCCAATTCTGCATTATACATTATGTAGTAGTGAAGTATGAAATTGACCAGGTGAAGGCCCACACTTGCCTTTTGAGTGAATGTCAAAAATGCATTCCAAAAGGAGAGAGAATGGGACCAGGACAAAAACTCATTGTAAGTGTAATATTCTGTAATCATTTATTTAATAATGTCTTCTACTATTTAATTGTAATTAGGTTATAATATTTTAAATTCTGCAGAAGTAGCACCCAACTTGAAAGCACTAAAGTATTATCTGATCAGATTCTTTTTTTCCTTACAGGTGAAAGCGAATGATTCTGATCAGGGTGCCAATGCTGAGATTGATTATTCCTTCCATCAGGCTTCAGATGTAATTCATCGGCTGCTACGCTTAGACAGAGCCACTGGACTCATCACGGTACAAGGTCCTGTTGATCGTGAAGATATTAATGTGCTCAAGTTCTCAGTGTTGGCTAAGGACAAGGGAGCTAATCCCAAAACTGCCCGTGCCCAGGTAGTGATCAGTGTCAGAGATATGAATGATAATGCTCCTTCCATTGAAATTCGTGGTATTGGTTTAGTGACTCATCAGGATGGCATTGCCAATATTTCTGAAGATGTGCCAGTGGAGACACCTGTGGCGCTTGTACAAGTGTCTGATCGGGATGAGGGTGAAAATGCTGTTGTGACCTGTGTGGTGGCTGGTGATGTACCTTTTCAGCTACGACAAGCCAGTGATACTGGCAGCGATAGCAAAAAGAAATACTTTCTACAGACCACTACACCCCTGGATTATGAAGCTGTGAAAGAATATACCATTGAGATTGTAGCTGTGGATTCTGGTAATCCACCCCTGTCAAGCACCAATTCCCTAAAAGTACAGGTGATGGATGTCAATGACAATGATCCAGTGTTTAGCCAGAGCTCAACAGAGGTGGCATTTCCTGAGAATAATTCCCCAAATGACTTGGTAGTAGAAGTGAGTGCTACTGATGCAGATAGTGGATCTAATGCTAAACTGATCTACTCTCTTGCTGGAGAATCTTTATCAAAAGACACCTTCTCAATTGATCCAGAATCTGGTGAAATCCATGTAAAAAATGTGCTGGATCGGGAACAGCAAGAACGCTATGAATTCTTGGTAGTTGCAACTGACAAGGGTAGCCCTAGCCGCAAAGGAACTGCCTCAATTGCCATCAGTGTCATGGATCGCAATGATAATGATCCAAAATTCATGCTCAGTGGCTACAATTTTTCTGTCACGGAAAACATGCCACCACTGAGTCCAGTGGGCATGGTGACAGTTATTGATGCAGACAAAGGAGATAATGCTGTCATTCAACTCTCAGTGGAACAGGATAATGGTGACTTTGTAATCCAAAATGGTACTGGAACCATTCTCTCCAGTATATCTTTTGATCGTGAACGACAGAGTACTTACACTTTCCGTCTTAAAGCTGTGGATGGGGGAGATCCACCAAGATCTGCTTATGTGGGGGTGACAATCAATGTATTAGATGAGAATGACAATGCTCCTGTAATTATATCTCCATCCAATGCTTCCTATAAACATATTCTACCTAACACTAGTCCTGGGCAACAGATTATGAGTGTTGGAGCTGAAGACATTGATTCTGGGATCAATGCTGAATTACTATTTAGAATTGCTGGTGGAAACCCCTTTGAACTCTTTAAGATTTCATCTGTAAGTGGAAATATCACATTAGAAAAAGAGATTCTCCGCAAGCATCATGGACTTCACCGCTTGGTTGTACATGTAAATGACAAAGGGAAACCTTCTCATCATGGCACAGCATTAGTTCATTTTTATGTGAATGAAACATTGGCTAACCGGACACTGCTGGAGACTCTAGTAGGACACAGCTTGGACACACCTATTGATATTGACATTGCTGGTGATCCAGAGTATGAGCGCAACAAGCAGCGCAGTAATATTTTGTTTGGAGTCATTGCAGGCATAGTAGCTGTCACCTTGATAATTTTGCTTGTTGTGCTGGTACGCTACTGTCGTCAAAAGGAGGCCAAAAGTGGTTATCAAGCTGGCAAAAAGGAAACTAAGGATCTGTATGCTCCCAAACAAAGTAGCAAAGGGAACAACAAAGCTAAAGGCAAAGTGAAAAAAAGCAAATCCACTAAGCCACCAAAACCAACTGAGGATGAAGAAGAAACAGGTCTGCAGAAATCTCTTAAATTCAACCTTATGAATGATTCAGTAAGTGACAGTCCCCGCATCCATCTGCCTCTTAATTATCCACCTGGAAGCCCTGACTTGGGTCGCCATTACCGTTCCAATTCACCTTTGCCTTCCATTCAATTGCAACCCCAATCACCATCTGCCTCCAAGAAGCATCAGGTAGTACAGGACCTCCCAGCCACCAATACATTTGTGGGCACTGGGGACAGCAATTCTACAGGCTCGGAGCAGTATTCAGACTACAGCTACCGTACCAACCCTCAGAAATACACCAATAAACAGGTAGGAGAGATTGTGCTGCACCCTCCCACCATTCCCTCATGCTACAACAGAGCTATATGGACAGAGGTGTGGGAGTGAAATGGACTTGGCCCAGATTGCATGAATGGATTGGCAGGATGCAGGTTGGAGGACTGCAGTGTCCAGATGCATGTTACATTCATAGGACTACTTAGAAAAGAGGCCTCCTTCAATCCAGCAAATTAAGGGAATAAGGGTGCGAAAGTGGGGAGAAGATTGTATGATTGTGGTAAATTAGAGGGCTGATGACATTTAAGGAAATGAATCCTACCACTTGGGTGCAGCACGAAGGGTTGGGTTGTCAGTGGTCAATGATCCATGCATCAAGATGTATTCAGTTCTGATGTTTCATATTCATTACTATAAAGAAGGTGTTAAAGTCCTAGAAGCCAGGTCTTTGTTTATGGATCCCATTTGCTAGTCATACTTCGATTCAGATATCATTAATCTGAATCAATTACCAGCATTGATTTCTTCTATGGAAACTTGATGCCATTTGCAGGTACAGTATGGTAAAATTGAACAATTTTAATGCAGTGACATGGGCCATGGACATAAGATTTTTGCTTGCCGAAATGAAATTGATTCTATAGCTAGAATAGTGTGGGGAATCTTTGCTGAGAGGTTAGATTATAAGCAAAGATTACTGCTGCTGGAATTCAAAGCAAGTAAAACCATCTACTTCAAAATGTTCCGATCTATGATAGAGAACTTGGCAGAACAGAAAAGTGATACATAGTTTGCAAGCTGGGTAGTATATGGGAGATATTGTTAACCACTGAGGCTTTGATAAGTACAGTTTTGGATGCCATACTTCAAACTGGCTGCAGTTAATTATCAATAAAAATATGAAACGTTCAAGGAATAGTGTTAATCTTCCTTCCATTGTATCATTATTTCCTTTATTTTGGGAATTATATATGCTAATTTTCCTTCTCAGCTTTGTTCAGGTAAAGTTTTTTTTAAACATGATGTGATGTCAATAAATGTTTCCATTGTTAGCTGATGTGCTGGTCACTGACTTTTGTGTTGCAATCTATAGTGCAGTGGTGGGGAAGCCAAATGATGGGGAGGCATGATGGGTATGATGATATTGCTTTTATAGATTGTTTCAGCAATTGAAATTATGTTAAATTTTTAGTTACCACAAATGGAAAAAAAATCATATTAAGCAAATCATAGGAACCAATATGAATTTCACCCAAATGTATATGAGAATCAAATTGGAATAAAGTTATGACAGAAAATTTTATTTTTGATGTTTTCAGAGAGATTTAGTGTGCTGATTTAAAAACAAAAAGTACCTTTTTACAAATACTTGCATTTTTTAAAACTATCTCAAGGCATACCAATTATAGCAGTGATTTTGTACATATTATTGTAGGTACTTAACAATGTCTGTAGTATATTGTTGGGATTTTTAGAAGGGTTTTTTTCCAATCATTTTGATTAATTAGGCTCACTTAGAAATATTTTTTTCACAATTTTTTATTTTTATTCAGAATATTACAGTATAAACTCCCCTCAAAAATACAGAAAACAAAACAGACATATACATAAATTATTCCCTCTAGTTGAATACTGATAAATATACCTCAAAGATATATCCCTCGCGCTTTGTGAAGAAGATACAATTTATAAATTTCTAGAACAATATTTACCCAGTCCAGTTAGCCTGACCTCTGCCTAGTATATGAAAACATAGTTAACAGGTAATATCAACAACTAAATTAAACTTCAAAACCCTTAGTTAAAATCTATTTATTTATTTTTATTGAAAAATTTTATACAAGTTTTTAACAATATCAATAAAAATAACCCCCTCCTTCCCTCCCCCCTCACTTCCCAGAGCTGGTTACAGGGTTACAAATAAACAAACAAATTTTAAATAAACTTATCCAACTATACAAATAACAAAATCAATAATGTACCTTAACTCGAATACAAAACAAATTTAAGCAAATAATATATATATATATAAATAACTATAAGCAATTCCAAATTAAAAAACTAAAAATTATTCATAATCTAAATAATACTTTTTAATCCCATATCAACTCTATTTACTCTACATGTAATTTATCCATCTTTTCCACGTTGAGGTGTATATTTCTTTTAAACAACCATTCATCCATAATAAACACAAAATTTTCCTTCCAATGTAACCCAACCAACAAACTTACATTCGATAAACTTGGCTATTTGCTTTTTTTTGCCCCACCCCTAAGTAATTCTATTAATACCCTCCTGCTTAAGAAGTTTCAACAAACCATTCATCTTAATCACTAAAATTCTCACCAACAGAGATCATTAGAATTTAAATTCTTTTACACATTTACCCATAATATCTCATAATTATTTTTATACACTTTAAATTAAAAATTTTATAATATATATACTCCCAAATATTTAAACTTTTCCACTAAATCGTCACCTTCTATTATTCTTTTTCTTTACATCTACATACTACACAAATCATTCACTATTCCTTTAAAACATACTATTTATTATTATTTTTCTTTTCATCTACATATTACACAAATCATTCACTATTCCTTTAAAATATCTTCCATCTCAAAAAACTACTACAAAAGTTCATCATTTCCTTTTCTTTATTCCAACATCCGCCTTCTGCTGTTCTTTTACTTTACGTCTATAGGCTGCACGAGTCATTCTAGGTTTCTTTAAAAAATCTTCTGTCACAAGAGACTGTTGCAGAGGTTCAGCCTGTATGTCTCCTACATCCAATAACATAGCACCATCAACCGGCTGCCCTTCCGACTTTTCTTCTGTAATCTCAGGTCGTAAAGATGATGGAGAGCCCGCCTTCAAAACAGAAGTGTAAAAATCTTTCGCGTTTGAATTTGTGTTAAATGTATGATATATCCCCGCATAATTCACCACTATTCCAGCCAGTATCTCCCATCTGAACCGGGCCTGTCGTTTTTTGAGCTCATCAGCCAAAAAAGCAAAATCCTTTCTTTTTCTAAGAATTTTTGAAGATATTTCTTTTAAAATTATAACATCTTGAGTTGCAATTTGAAATCTCTGCTTATAAAAAGCCTGTAAAATTTCATTACGAAGTGATCTTCTAGAAAAATAAATAACCACATCTCGTGGCAAATTCCTCTGCCTCGCAACCCTTGAATTAACCCTAAAAACCTTTTCCGTCTCTCTCAGTATTTCTTCAGGCTCAGCCCCCAAAATGAAAGCTATATCTTTTACCACCACTTGTCTCAAATCCTCTTGTGTGTTTTCCTTCATTCCCCTTATTCTTAAAGCAAATTCCATGTCTCTATATTGTAACATAGTAATTTCATCCAGTATTATTTCCGCCTTATTTTCTACTTTATCAATTCGATCTTCCAGTTTTTCAAAATTTTCCACAACATCATCAATACGATCATCCAGTCGATCTACATGACCAACAAACTTTTGAAACGCAGACGCAATGTCCTCTCTCAGTTCCCTAATTTTAATTTCAAGAAATTCCTCCATCTCTTCTTTAATCTGTCTTGCCTTATTTCCCAAGGCCTCCTGTAAATCTTTAAGTATAGATGCTGGTAACGATGGAGAAGGTGGTGGCAACTTAAACTTAGCTTGCTGAGCTGTCTGCATTACCGGGAAGATCAAGGCTTTAGAAACAATAGAACAGTGGTTCTCAACCTTTATAATGCCGCGACCCCATAATACAGTTCCCCATGTTGTGGTGACCCCCAACCACTTATACATCACTGGGTGCCAGGGGCATGGCCAAAGAAAAGGGGGGAAAATGGCGGACAGCCTTGTTTGGCGACTCCCTTGAAATGGTCATTCGACCCCAAATGGGGTCCCGACCCACAGGTTGAGAACCACTGCAATAGAAGCTCCGAGACGCTTTGAAGCCATTTTATTTTTAAGACCACTTGTTAAAAAGTCTACTAAAATCTTATAAAATCAACAAATACCACAAAAAAGAAAAAAAGAGGGGAGGAAAAAAGACAAAAGTCCCCTTACAAGAAAAAAGAAGATTCTTGCATTTTATATAAATACAAAATCTGTTACATTGTTTCAAATAGAAGTTCCGGTCCTTTCACTCAAAGAATCAACATCTCAGCGCCATTTTTCACTACTCTTAATTTAAAAAAAAGGAAAAGATAAATTCTTTTCCAGAGTTAAAGTCTCGAAATAATCATCATTTTAATCTCTCCTGGTCAGCTCTGTCTGCTTTAAATTTTACTCACAAATTCATTTTAAGCGCAGATATGGAAGCAGCGTCTAGCTTTGCCCTGGATAAAAATCAGGACAAAGGCATCCTGGAATGTGGAGAACACCTCAGACTCCGTGGGAGCTCTCACCCTCCGATCACCAAAAAGAAAGCTTTGGGGTTTCGGGGAGCTCTACCACTATCTGAGGAAAGCTCATCTCCTCCCCTTCGCCCGGGGAGAGAGGTTCCAAGCCGCGAGACAGCTGTTGCTCGCTGTCTCAGCTGGCTTTGACACATCCCAGGGTGGACAGCTGAAAAAAACCGCCATCGGCACGGCCGTCGCCATCGGAAGTCCGTTAAAATCTATTTATTGTATTTCACACAAAGGAAGTCCACAACGGCTTCTGATCTACCATAAGTTACCACAGTCATTGTTTCTGATCCATCCAGGATCAAATACCCTCGATTGATTCTTAATAGTGAATCTTTTCCTTAAAATAGTAATCAGGATTTTTCCTAATAATTGGATTTTATTCCCCAAAGGCACAAATTCCTGTTGTGTATATCTCCATAGCATTTGTTGTACAAAAAAAATATCCTGTAAATTATAACATGACATCTCTTAACATTTGTTTTCCAATTGGGTATGATAAATCCATTCAGAATCAGAATAGAGCTGGAAGGTCTTGGAGGTCTTCTAATCCAGCCCTCTGCTCAAGCAGGAGATACTATATCATTTCAGACAAGTGACTGTCCAGTCTGTTCTTAAAAACCTCCAGTGATGAAGCACCCACAA